TCCCATGTTTTTGGAGGTTCTGCCTACCACCTTATTCACCGACCATCACAGTAGTTGTGAGTTTTGTTACGAGATGGCTCAGCAATTATGTTGCTTCGGTATACACACAAAGTAGTAGTGAATATAAACAATATTAGAAATTCGGTCATATGTTGTTTTTTAAATAGCATAAAAATAATACAATCATTTAGGTATTATAAACTAATTATTGCAACTAAAGAGGGCAAGTTGCTCATTTATCCATTAAATCCCTCTGGTCAGCCAAATTATTTTTACTAAATTAAAACATGCCTACTATTTTCAAACAAAATATTTCATAATTTTCAAATTTATTTACAGTAGAAAAATGTTGTTTTTGTTAATTTACTTTAAGAATTTTAAGATTTCGATAATGTTAACTAAAAAACGCATTATAGTTTATTTTTAATAAGTGATTATTGAAAAATAAATATATTTAACGCGGATCAATATTCTGTTTTGTCATTATATCGACAACGTATGACGTTGATTTAGTATGTTTATTTCATATGAAGTAAAATATTCATTTAAGATGTTTTCCATTTTATTACTTCAAGATTAAATTATGAATTGGGTTAAAGCAAGACAATTTATTCACTTAAGTAATAGAGTGATGATCGGTTTATGGGAGAAAAATCGTAATTATTTTATTCTTTACCTTTATGAATGTAACCAATATTGGATATTCAAGTAAATGCTGAATAAAGTCACTTTATTTTAGTATTAGCAATTCGAAAATGGTTTTTTTTTGACGATGGCTGTCTGTACGTATTGGCATAATAAACCAAAAAAAAAATCTGTTATGTATTATTAAAAGTAAAACCCGAACATCATTCGCACCTGACAATAGGACATAATTTAGTTAGCCTGTCTACCGTGTAACCGCATCGAATGACCTTTGCCACAGTCACACCGCCGTTTTTACAGCAGACCACAAGTTTTTTACGCGTTTCTAACGATCTGTAATGCATTAGTTCTACGTATATATATGCAAGATATAGTTATTCTTATGTGTAAACGTGTAACTGTAATCACTTAAGTTTATGAGCTAATCGTATTCATATATTTTTAACAATATTTTATGAAAACTACATTTGTAAGAAATTATCCAAAAACTACTATATGTCAGTGTAATATTTTTAATATACATGTTAATTTTGCATGCAAATAGTGTCAAAAAGTATCAAAAATAAAAAAATGTTTTCACTATTTATCAAAATTTTTCTTTCTTGTATTGTAAGCGTTAAAAACTTTCGGTGCGTGTATGTGAAAATTCAACATTTATTTTGGAGTGTAGTTTAAGGTATTATTTTTGTTTTCGTTACCACAAGTATCAACCAGAATAGGTTTTTAGGATTTTGTCTCGAGGGGTATGTTTATATGAAACGTTTTACTACCCCTCCAAAATACATTTTTACTATTTATTTTCATTATTGGGGAGCTCTGTGTTTGCTCGCCAGAACGCCTATGTTATTTACCTTATATTGATTTATTGTTTTCGAGAGCAATACGTTTACAGCTACAGTATGGCGACTATACTTTTTACGAATCCCGATTATTATTAATCAATAAGATATCGATTATTTTGATTCAATAAAAGCTCAGTTGTAATGATTCGGTTATATTTTAAGTATCTGTATAATCGGAAGATAACGAGTACGTTTGTTTAACTGGAAGTGCGAACTCGTTTGGATTATGTATTACACTGGTACAATTTGTAAGACTAAAACATAACTGTTTTGTGTGGTGAAAATGATTTCGGCCGCACAAAAACAAACGATTTAGCCGTGGAAACTTGACGACGGTGTTAATACAGTACTCCAAGTATTCTGACTTTTAATATCACAAGTTAAGTGCAACTGCAGTCTGCACACACGGGGGGCGTGAAGGCGATTATTTAAATCCGTTGTCAAGATAAGAGCACGCGAGAAGTGTACACGATATCCAAGTCGTGTGTTCCGTTCCTTTTTTGTTTTATCACCGTTTTTGATGAATTGCTCGCACGCCTTTCCAGGTCGCTTCCTGTGTTTCGGTAACACCTACCACCCGAATATAATATATGATACTTAATAGCCATGTATAATAAACCGTGTACGTTCATTTATACCCTTTTGCGATACAATCGCGGTGCCTCTGGGATCTCACTCGTACCCTCCAGGTGAACCCACACAGCTATTACACACAACACGGTCATCTACTAAGAGCAGCCCGCCAATATTCAAATGCGATTGTGTGTCGGATGCAGTGCCTTTTGGACATCGCAGGCATACGATGTGTTAGAATCACTCATACCTCAAGCCATTAGTTGGCGTTATGTTCTAGAACGAGTCACTCGAATAACAAACGGTGACCTTTATGTTGTTGTAGCGGTCTGAAGTGCGCGGTAAAAAATAATTAAAAAAATGCGTCGAAAAAACGATTACAATAATAATTAATATACGCGCATCGAGATTCCACGGCACTGTGGCAATGCCATTGATAGAAAGAGTTTCTCAAACACAGTCCGTTCCCGTGACAGGTTTTATTGTCACTAGTGTGTACGAAACGCGTAAACTGCGTAGTAGATCATCGAAAATACAGTGCGCGTGAGGCGCAACATGGTTATTTTTTTACCTCGACGACAATGTAATTACAATATTTTCCAATAGTCTACTGTGGACGAGACGGCGACAGTCGGGTTTGTAACGACTGCGACCGAGTAAACAACACTATTTCAAGTGCGTACACGAGTACTTGACCTTTGGACGCACAGCTCGTAATTTGGTATTGACATTTTCGGCGCGTTACAGCAAATAGTCCAGCTCTAGTAATTCCACCACTACTACTCGTCGAAAGCCCCAAAGCACTTATATTACTTGGTTATCGTCGGACAGCACGAAAAACCACCGAGTTCTCAATTAGAGCTCGGTCGATTTTATCGGACGAGCTTAAAAAACATCACAATAACAAAAACGTACGAGTGTGTTCAACAACAACACACGCAAACAATTACAGTCGTTATGAATAGTATCGATCTAGACGGCAAAAGGGAAAATGTCGTGGAAAACCCTAAAAGCGGCGGTTATTAAATCTCGGCAGTTGCCCACAGCCAGCCCGAGGTTACGTGGTGGTGGTGGTGGTGGTGTTGTCGAGAATAATATGACACGCGAAAGGGGTAAACGAGACGCCTAGGGCTGTATGCACACGCACATAAGAACATAGAGCAGAATCCTTTCCCCTCCGTCAACGACATTGTTGTTGTCGCTATTATTGTGTTCTGCCGGCGACTACTTCGCCAAACACACGAGCGCGTCAAATTCGCCGACAATGTTTACCGTACTGTTTGCGAATAACACCATTTTTACCCCATTTTGAGGGCTTCAAATGAGTTCCGTGTACACATTCGTGTTGCATTATTCACGAGCTGCCAAGAGAGTACAACGGCCGTGCACTTGATCAGTTGATCATTACAATACCGCGGAGTTGCATTTAACCGTTTTAAAGACACTTCAGACCAAATGGACTTCGAGTAAACACCAATTGTTTTAGAATTAAAAAAATATATACGTGTTAATAAAACCAGTGCCGTGACTTGCAGTGTAGCGATCCGTTTATTGTGTACTTTTATCATAGTCGGCGTGCAAGCAGCGAGAAAATCATTTCATAAACGGCCATGTGTTGTGTTCGTTTTAAATCCAATTAAATGACTCGATAAAACAAAAAAAGATAATAATAGAATTCATATGTAATAAAATAAACATATTCAGCGATTGTAAACAATAATAATTGCAAAATAAAATTATTTTGTTATTTGTTACGATTAAATACTTGAGTAGTAATTCTTTTGTAAAACATTTTCTTATTGATTACATTTTGTGTATTTAGTAGTGTAGAATTTTTATAGCACTCAAATAGCAATATCAAAAAGTGTAACATTTTTTACGAAATTAGGTACCGATATGAATAAAAATATATTATATTTTATGAGATGTAACAACGATATTAGACTTAGATCGATATAAGAACCCTTCAGCTGAACAACACACATTTTTTATCAACATACATAAGTCTTATCAAAGCGCAGTATTAAAAATAATCATTTTTCACATAAAATAAAACGAAAATTCCAAAAAAGAAAAATTCAACTCGTACAGTTTTTTTGCCATTTTAACAATTGAAAACAATCATTGAAAAAATATTTATTTTCAAAAAGTAAAAATAATTTTGAAAAATCTGAATTCGAATAAAAAAAATTGAATTCAACAACAATACTACCAATGGTACGAACATGAAAACATTTCATAAAAGAAAAATAGATTGTTGATGGCGAATCAACAAATGTTTAGAGTAAAACCGAACGAAAATGACGTGTTAAAGTGCAAAACAAAAGGAAGAATGACAACAATTATTTTTATTATCTAATAAGTTATGACGACGTTTACTTTAATGATTTTCTGGTTATTAAACAAATCATATAAATCGAATGAAAGGTTGAAAAACTGGTGTAATTAGAGTTTAAGCGTCCGGCGCAGTTTGTAGTTGATGACACCTAAATTACTTTGCTGAAGAAAAAATATATATTTTTTCAGTTTACTCAGAACTTTTGTCTTGAAAAACTAAAATATGCATAAATAACATCAAACAAAAAACACATTTATTGAAATTCGACTACGAAAAGCGTTACGGTTAAAAATCACATTTTAACGTATTTTTTGGCTAAACATTTTCAATAAGAAATACAACATTTAGTTTCTTACACGTTTAATGATATAAGATGAAATAAATTTAATGTTTGTAAAAAAAAAAAACTAATTCATAAATAAAACTTTGTTCGCAACTATCAATTTTAAATAAAAATAAATCATAAAATGATATAGTTTTGTAAATCAAATAAATTACAATATTATACTTTACCATGTCTAAAAAAATGTATTTGTGATTGAGTTTTTAAAAAAGGCAGTATCTTCTAGACTAAATATATTTAAATTACAAAATAAGGCAAATTTTTAAAAGATTTATATTTATTTTAGAACAAAAATTTTTACAGTGAAAAACGTAACGTTAGTTTTGAAACAATTATGAAATATTATCAACACACAAATATTAAGTAGTTTTATTCTTACTGTTTTTTTTATATACTGAAACATTATCTTAATTTAAAAACTGTATTTTGGGGTGTTGGGGCACAACACTTTTCATAGGAAATTTTTATTAAAACAATGTTTAATCGAAACCAGATATAATTTTTTTTTTTATAATGACTTGATTATCTCTGCATAATTCAAGTATCTTAACGCCGAAACAACAAAAAAGCTTTAACTAATTAAGTCACTATAAAATGTATATGGTATACAAAAAACTATTTTTAACTTTTGTTGTCATATTGTACGGATTGGCGAAAGCAAGTAAAATGAAATAATTTAATACATATAACTTGGAACAAATAATTTTGTACATTATTTTATTGTTTTAAACATTAATATTATTGTTTAGTTCAACATTTTTCTGAGATATAAGGTTTTATTATTATGGTCATAACTCATAATGCAATAACAATTTTACAAAAGAATAAAAACGTTAAATGTTATGTTAGGCCTTGGTCATAGGTCTAGTTAAATTAAAATAGCATATAAAATAAATCACAGTCGCATACTTTGGTTAGTATTATTTTTTTTTTTGTCATTTTTATAATAATATAAGTCTAAACGCAACATATTTCTAGAAATATCATCTCGCTGCGCAATTAAACCTCAAAAATGAACATTTATGTTAACACTGTACAAAACATTTAAAAATAACGCTAGTTGATAAAATAATAATAATAATAATAATAATGAGATGAAATAAATTAAATATCGGCAACTGCCCAATTCAAATGAATAAAACAACTTAAAAATTAGAAGAAAATGAAAAACGAATCGAATAAAAAGGATCAAATCATTAGTCATTTGTCGTCTCTAAAGGTCTACATAACTAATTGTTGAATGAAAAATAAAAAAGATAAACCTAACTTCTGATTTACCTTAATAATATTAAGATAGCAAAACAAAAGGCTTGTCTTCTCCCCCCCCTATTAATAATTACATTGTCAAATAGAAGTACGTCTGGGGCTGTCTCCCTGTTTGGGCAACGCCCTGGACGCTTTTTTATTGTCCGTCATCTTTTTGGCGTTCGTTCTGATCAAACTCGAGTGTCTACTGCGTCTCATGTTCTTCCACAACAACATCTTGACGGCCCTTGTGTCACCCATGTCGGTGGCGTAGTCGAGTGGTGTGACGCCGTTGTGTCGGATGGTGGTGCGACTCCTATCGGACGACAATATGGTGGCCATCATCTCGTACCGACGATGTCTCACGGCCACGTGCAACGGCGACCCGTACGCTTCAGTCGTCATGTTGGGCGAGACGCCACAAGACAATAAGAACGATACGGTGTCTACGTCGTGCCGAACTACGGCTTTGGCCATGCGGTCCGAGTGCACGAGATGTGCGGTGATTGTGACCCGCCGTCCCCAGGTGTACACTGATATGTCGAGCGGACGTGAAGCGGTCAACGAATTTCGAGCGTCGATACAGGCACCGGCGTTCAACAGGAGCTCCACCAACGACGCGTTGTTAGCTCTTACGGCGGCGTGCAATACCGTTTCGTTGTCTTTCGACCGAGTGTTGATGTCGACGCCGCGCGCCAACAAAGCTTTAACAGCGCCCGAATGGCCTCGAGTCGCGGCTACAAGCAGTGGTGGTTTCGGGCGACGACCACAGTGCAAAGCGGCCAACATCTCCGGATCACTATGTTCCAACAAACACGCCAACATATTTAAATCGCCTGAAAATTCAAGACAAACGTAAATGTCTAATCTGTATTTAACCATATGGACACTTACCGGTTTCACACGCGGAGTGTATGACTGTCCAGTCGAGATCGTCGTTTTTCAAGTCCACGACTTTGGCACCGTGTTCTAGCATTAGCTGGACGAGGGACAGATTGTTGCGGGCCACCGCGGCATGCAGAGGCGTTTGGATGGACCCGGGTACTCGGTTCACGTTGGCCCCGGAGTAGATGATGAACCGGGCCACTGTCTCATTTTGCCAATGCAAGGCGGTAAGCAACGGGGTGCGGGATCGACAATCCAGTCCGTTCACCGAAGCACCGGAACGGAGCAGTACGAACGCCGCCGTTTCGTTGCCCCTCTTCGCAGCCAAGTGCAACGCGGTTTCTTGATTGCATGTTTTGAAGTCGATAAGTTTTTTAGTACAGTTCTGCATAATAGCTACCAATATACGGTTTGGGAATTGATAGTAAACAGCAAAATGCAGACATGTCCACCTGCAAGAAAATAAATAATTTTTTATAATTATTTTATATGTAGAAATTTCATTTACAAAAATCGAAATAAAACCACATTCTCCAATTAAATTATGTGAAAAATTCCCTCTAGTCCTTTTTTAATTCGAATAAAATTTTATTTTCAAATACTTTTGATGTTTTTCTTTGACTATTGCAATAAAAAAAAAAATTTAATTTATTTTTTTTAAGCTCAAGTAAAAAGTTTACGTTTTTGTAAAAAAAGTATAAGTACAATCTAAAAAAGAATACTAATAAAATGTGTTGTTTAAAATTATTTTCGAAAAATATGTCGTTCTTTAGTTAATATATTTTAATTAACTTTCAAAAAATGCGTCAATGTATGAAGATGGTCTTCAGTGTGATTTTACCTCCCCCTCACAAATTATAAGTAAGGAGAATAATTGTTTAATCGTACGGAGTATTCTAGAAAACCTAAACCTACCAATCAATTCAAGTCACTTTAGATGATTATTACTATGCAATAAGAATAAAACAAATCGTTGCAGGTAATAAAAAGGTACAAACACTGTGTACTACACTTAATTATTATATAGTCTGTACCTATTATTTTCAATTAATACGTATAATGTACTTAATCGTCATATTGCACAAGTTCTCTAAAAAAAAAAACTTATAATTAAAAAATGTATACTACAGGCTTTTGTCATGGATTATCTCCTTAGCTTATATCCCCCCACTATTTAGGGCTGGCTCTACCTTACGATTTTCACACCGACCTGACGCAATCTCATTTCGGTTAAGGGGCCAAGGCGCGTCACCGTTGAAACTAACAGCGCACCTGAACACTAACGGCAGTTAAGGTGACGATTATAAATAGTCCACCACACCACGACCCCCCCCTACTTCAGGCCTTTGTACGAACAGATTATGAACACGAGTTGTACCGTATGTGTTACATAGAATTTTCCAAAACGCCATACACACCTAAAGAAATCGTGCACCATCGGATCAGCTCCTTTTTCCAATAGCAGTTGTGTGGCTCTAACGTGTTTACTTTTCATGGCCATCAAAAGAGCTGTGAAACCCGTCACTTCGTCTCTGTACTCGATCTCAGCGCCGCGATTCAGCAACTTGTTCATTAGCACCGTGTTGTCTTGAGATGCAGCTTTGAAAAATGCTTTGTTCAGAACACCTTTTGGGATTTCGTAATTTAACATCAAGTCCAAACATCGTCTGTTACGAGAAATAAAAGTCAATTTGATAACTGAATTTGAAAAATATAAAGGCTTAAAAATAAACACCAATCCACACCTTCGATTATAAATTACAATTTCTAATCAAAGTTGATGGTTTGGTTCTTAATTTTAAAATATTAAAAAATACACACATTTAGCAAATTTGTCGAGCCTATTAAAATAACAGTTATTTTATTTATTGGACCAGCAAAAACTTTAGGGGGGGGGCGATTAAACTCTGGCGAATTAATTATTTTATAGATTTGATCGCTTAATTTTTGTTAACTTTTACCATATTCGTAAACATTACACTTGTGCTGTAATGATCATATTTAATATTATTTTGTAAAACGATAACTGATATTCGACCGGCCCCACACATGACAATATTGACCAAGTTCACACAGTCCATCGATCAAACTTACTTTTCGTTCATTAACGTAGCCAAGTCTAACGGCGTGTTGTTGGAGCCGTCGGTCACGTCCAAGTCGGCGCCGTGACCGACGAGCAGTCCGATAATGTGATTTCGACAGTGCAAAATGCATTGATGCATAGGAGTCTTACGATGCGCATTTCTTACGTTGGGGTCGGCTCCTCTGTTCAAGAGCAGCTTGACGATTCTCTGGTTACCCGTTTGCACGGCCACGTGAATTGGATAGTCGGCCGTTCGACCGGAAGGACAGTGCATAAGGTATCTGTTCCACGTGATCATTCGTTTGACGGCGTCGTAGTGACCGCGTTCGATAGCCTTCCGCAGGTCCAATGGGGCGAATGCGGTGGACCCAGCTCGCTTACGGTAATAATAAACGCACATCTCCCACACGGTTCTGCAAAAATATTCGACGCATTAAAATCAGCCCGTTAAAAAACATCACGTGCAAAACAAAATATACAATAGCCTAACAACACTCGGCATAAATAAGCCGGGATAAGGCGAGTGTAGAGGCGAAAGGGACCTCATTCCATTTAACTAACAAACCTTAATACGTCCAAAAGCATAGGACGGAGGGACTTGAATGCTTGTCGGAGATATTGAACGACATGGTATTTTTTACGAAAACATTATTTAATAGCGGCAAAATGAATGATTTGGTAGCCTCGCCGGTATTATTCGACTGGGCTTTGATTTTTGAAAATTAATCTTTTATAAAAGGTTTACAGATAATTAAGTGAACGAATTGAAGAAAACTTCGGTTCTATTAGTCTCAAACATATTTGTTTACTTTGCAGTCGCAACGCATGTTCGATAACTTAACTTCAATAACAATGCTGTCGTGAAGGAAAAACGCTGAGCGATTTCAAAGAAATCGAGAAAAACATTTCAACGAAATGATGTGAATGGAATTTCGAGTGGTGTTCTAATACACTGAGCCGAAGGTCCAGACAGATTTACAACAGTTGAAACGATTTCATTGAAAACGCATGGCGCCATATAAAACGCAGGTGGAATTAAGACTAATTCAAATTTGTTTTAATCGGCTACGTCGAATCTGTGACAAATTTGCTAAATAAACTAAAATTGATCGTAAAAATAAAATACCGAAATAATATATGTTATAGTATCAAGTTCAAAGTAAAAAAAATTAAAAATATAAGAATTGTAAATGGCTAAAACAATTTGTTTTTAACGAGTAACCATTGATTTTCAAATTTTACAGCTTTGTAGACATAAATGTTACGAACTTTTATTTTTTAATTAAGTAAAAATAACTTGTAAAGTTATTTACGGTCATCCCGAGTCAGACAACTTACAGATTGGCGGTTTATTTGCAATTATATTTATTTGACAATTGTACGGTGAGCATTACGGCGTTCTCTATGAATAGGCTACTGGGCTAATTATTAATTCGGTCGTCATCCGGTCTCCGGTTTAAATACAACTCGACAATAATAGTGACGTGTCGGCAAATCCAAGTCGACAAATCTCTGATCAATTAAAACATTTAATACGCTCTTAATAATAATTATGACGATGATAATGCAACAGGAGATGATTCATTTAATTTTGTCTCGTTATCGTCTACATTCGGTTCAGTGGGTCCAAAAATATAAACAAAAATCATATTGACAGTCGAATTGGTGAGCGTCGCACATTCGATTGTCTTGCCTGAAAAAGTCGTATAAAAACCCAAAATTTGCCCAATTGCACTCGAAATAATTTCTTAATAAACCGCCCCCCCCAGATCGAACGAATTAAACAACAAATCGATAGCCGAGTCAACACAAGTCAACAAGTGTTCAAACAACAAGTCTTCATTTAAATATTATCGAACGACAATTTGGATTGTCTCTATGAAAAGCTTATGTTATTGACGTATTTAAATTTTGCCTTTCACAATACGAGTACAGTGAACTAAAAATGTGCATTGGCATTTGACAATACAACTCGCGGGTTGTGCTAACCGTTTATGAAATAAAAAAAAAATAGGCGACAATCGAGTAACGTATTTAACAGATGATTTTTACCCCGTGAAAACACGTTAAAAAACAATATCGGTTTATTTTCACCCTTTGTTGATCGACGGACAATTAAAAATTAACTCGATTACATTATGTTGTGTACGAAACGGAATTCACCGAGCCGTTAATTAACACAGATAACCATCACGGCCAACATAACCTAAAATCGCGGCGGGTCCTCGTCGAAAATTAACAACGGCGATATTCTGTGAACGTTTTTTGCTGTCGTAAAGAAAGCAGTCTTGTAGAAAACGACGATTTCAATAGAGCCGATCAATGCCAACACTAGACAATCGACAAATTAGACAATAATATTTCTGGTACTCACCTAATGGTCACCGGCGGCAACTCGTTGCACTCACGGGGTTTTGACGACTAAATTTACAGTTGTCATTGCACGTCATGCCGAATTGTAAAATCCGATTGCGCGGCAACATAAATAGATAGTACTAACACACCGGCCACTTATCATTAACTGCCGGCCTGTGTGCGTTTCGATGCGATTATTGTTTACAGCAAACTACGGCCCGGTAATTAAATCCACGGCGAACTGATAAAGACCCAATGGCGACGATTGAAAATCGTACAACTCGTCGGACCGGACCGACTGAATGTTTGTTCAGTTTCGATTGCAGAAAAAAAAAAAAAATTGACATTTTAAAATTCGCGTTCTCTTTGACGGGTTCGTCGATGATTGTTTCAAAAAGCAATCGATAGCCAGTCGATTTAAAAAAAAATAAAATACAATTGTTGTCGTACACCCGACGTCGCATTTCGCTGTTGTTATATTGTCATTGGCTACCACCGACCGTACCACGACAACTTTAGGCCGTTTGTTCGTTTCACACACTCGTGAGAAATGTCATTTTCAAGTCGATATTCGCTGCGTTTTGCGTACGCAGTGTCGAAATAATTTCGATTTCATGACTGCAACAACAATTACACTCCATTGACACTTATTCTTGTATTTGTCGCCGGTATATTAACAATTGCGCTACGGGTGTCGTCGTGGGCAATACACGAGGCGAAAACAATGCCAAATGTCTCATGTTCACTAGCCGGAAAGTCGACTTTTGCTCGTTTCGAGTGCATTAGCTCTCGTGATGACTACACGAGCAACCCCTGCCCTCCCCTACCCGTTGTTATTGTCCCTCGGTGTAACCAACCGGTAGGTTATTGTGCACGCATCAGTTCAGGCCCTCCGGGCTCGTGTTCGCTGTTGCCAAAATAAGTTGATAACCTAAGCCGACTCGATGACGGAGAACAATGAACATCTTCCAACACAACCATTTTGACTAATCAGACGGTATTATTATTATTATTATTATTATTACACGCGCGCGCGGTGCGCATAAATTCGGATATTTTTATTTTACTACAATTTCCCCCGGGCCATTATTTTGGGGAGTGGTTCGGAATGGCAAANAACCATTTTGACTAATCAGACGGTATTATTATTATTATTATTAGACACACGCGAGCGGTGCGCATAAATTCGGATATTTTTATTTTACTACAATTTCCCCCGGGCCATTATTTTGGGGAGTGGTTCGGAATGGCAAAAGTCACCCACCTCCCTCAAAGTTTTTGGTAACGTATCTCAAATTTTATACAGAGAAACCTATACATATACGGTCGGATCTTAAGAATTTTCCGTTCTAATATTGGTAGTTATGTTTTATACGATATTTTCTTTTTTTAATTTTCAATTTCATCGCAGGTCTGATGGAAGGTCGGGAAAATAATGTTGACTTTTTTGATGATACTATTTAAAGGGCGATTTTGAAAACGACACAAGGTATTGTTGAAGTTCGTGTAGTCAACGTATTTTAAATACGATTTCTTCGTAATTAAATATCTTATTAGTCCCTCTGTAGTGTACAGGCGACTAATCGAGTTTTGAAGTCCGCACGAAAACGTGGTCGGTTAGAAAAAATTTAAATACAGACGTTATTTTCAATAGAGTTGTCTAAATTCGTAGGAATCGACTTGTGGAGGACAAGGGAAAGACGGGGGCGACATGTGCGGTGCGCCGCGTGAAGGTATAGAAGCCTTTGGAGCGTTGCACTAATGCAGTGCGAAGGATCACTAATTAATAAATACTCGTTACCGGTTACGTCTAATTGTCGTAGCTGACTGACGACAATTACTTAATTTGTTTAGTGTAGACTTGAGAGAGTCGTAGGTCGGATGTCTCGACGGATGTTATTCGCAATATAATTTATTGTTCCGTTTCACACGGTTACAGTGCACGCAGTTAAAACACATTCGGATGACATAATTCGATTATTTTAAATGCCATTCGGTTAATAACTCGGACGTACCCAGTCGAGGTGCCGACGATTTCGTTTTATACATCCAACAGCTGTACTCCGGTACAGTTCTTGGCTGCATCGATCGGTAACCCGATAAATTATCTTCTTGTGCAGCGTGCGGACCAAGTCCAAGGCAAATGACAGCAAGTTAACAGTAAAGCGTGAAGAAACAGAACGAGACACGATTTCTGAGTAATAAGTACCGCCGAGTGCGAGTACAGTGATGACTAGGGGAGACAGTTGGGCTGTTGAGAAACCGCCAACATCCGCAACTCATTCCGGAAACATATTTTTACGCGGACTTATTACATTTGTTAATTTCCTGTGTCCGGTCGCCGGCACCTGCGCAGATGGTGTCCGTGTCAAAAACTTTTAGCTGTCCCTCGGCAGAGTAACATTTTTCTAGTGGTTCCAGCGGCGTTCGGAAACAATGCCACTGGGTGTTAAATAGTAATCGTAAAAAATGACATTGTAAAACACGTCATATTCACCCTTCACTTTGGGCTATTATAGGGGCAACGCTACCGGCAGGTAAAAAAAACCGTTTAAATGTCCAATTCATAATAATCGCGTTTTTTTGTTGTTTTATTGCTTTCGAATGGACGTTGAATATTTATGGGACACGGGTCACGCGACTCGCATTATGTTTTGTAATAAAGATTGTAGTGGAATCTCATAAAGGTGTATTCCAACGCGCTAAAAAAATAAAACTTTGTAATGGGAACTCTTAAACGATGCCTAGACGTATTTGCTATTAAAATAAATCCTTACTGTTTTTGGATATGACGTCATTATATTTTTAAATTCACAAATTTATTATATTATTTTGATTAAAAGTTAAATTTGAATTGATTAATTTTTTAAAGAAAAAAAAATCCCATCTATTATTTTGAATTTATTCATATTCTGTCGTAACAGATAAATATAATGTTGTTACAATAATAATTACTCATTTATATTTCGCCAAAAATTTTATATAAATTATTTTATTAATCCACTTCTTAATTTACATAATATTATTCTTGAGTAAGAAAATAATGTAACTTATTTAAAAATACTAAAGTACGTTCAACAAAACAAATCGAAAAACATTGTATATTACAATACTTAAATTTATTTTTGTCTCTGCTTCTTAATTTGACCTTATTAGTTTTGTACTAGTAATGAGTGAGAATTAAAAAAAAACATTAAGCTTTAATTAAATATCTAATTTGATGGCAACAAATAAATAATCATTTTGTTCATCTCAAATTAAATTTTAAATACCTCCTATTAAAACTAAAAATATAACAATAAACATTATACACTCAGAATATGACACAGTACACTTCTACTAACTAATTTTGGAAACCAAAATTGTGGCAGCATTTTTTAGCGCTTCTCAAATAATATTTATAAACCATTTTTTTATTTTTTTTTGAGTTTTAAGCGACCAAACTAAATTATAAATAAAAAAATTAATTGACTCGACAAAATGAAAGGTTGTAAAAACGCTCGTTGATTAGTAGATTTCTGGTAAATACTTTTGCCAGAATAATCATAATTTCTTTAGTCATTGTAATTAAATTTATACCAATAATTGTCATTTGATTAGTTCTCATCACGATAACATCAAATTCAAATTCAACTATAATTTTGTTCGTCATTTTTGCTACACAAAAATATATCTCAGAATACAATTGAAATGCAATAATAATCGTTGAATAGTTTATTTAACTCTTGTAGATTACTTTAATTGTATTGAGTTTACCCAGAACATTTCATATTGTTTTTATTTAATCAATTTTGTATTAATTTTAGATATTAACACATAGTTATGTTGAATTGCAAAACATCTATTTTTACAACACCCAACTATACAACCAAAAAACACTAATTTTCATAAGCAATGTGCAAATAGAACAAAAATCCAGAGATTGTTAAAGTCATGCAAAATTGTATTCTCCCAATATATCACATTAATATAGATGGCTGTATTATAATATAATGTACAATGTCTGTATTAACGACAGTTTTTTTAGATGGCTGTAAAACTAAACTAACGATTATGGGTGATTGGTATCTTAATGTTGATATGTCTCAATATACTCAAAATACAGATTTGTTCTGTTGTAATAATAGTAAAACCTAAACGTAATGCAAAATAAAAACAATACTAATAAATATTTATAAATAAAATTTCTTAGTTGACACAATAGCTAATAAAATTCCGGTAAAGTACTAAAAACTGAGGGTACTGAAGCGCCTCTAGTAGTTGCACCACTGCTCTTAATTATTATTTCAAAATTTGTTTCAAAACGATGAGTCATATTAAGTTCCATCAAAAAAATTCATTAATAAAACTCGTGTTATTAGTTAAATCACCTCACGACAAATTCGATAGCTAATTACGTACACTGGTGTATTTATTGAGCAATAATTAATATATTTGGGACCAGACCTAAATGATTCATTCATATAGGACTTATTAATATGCGTCATTTGAATTGTTTTTGAAAAAACATTTGATCGAAGTTATTTTTCTATAAAATCAACAGTATTTTATTAATCATTATTGATCATTTGTACCATACATATTTTTGAGACGTCGATTTACATGTATTATAAAAACTGACTTCATAATCAAACAACAAAAGAACATATTTTTAGGTTTAAAGTGATATCATGTATAATATTATATTATTTTAAATAAAATATAATTATTGTGTATATCGATTTAAATTAAACACAAAAACTATATTATTTCTAAGTAAACATATTTTTTAAATAATTTAAGATTATTTACATAAAAAATAGTATAAAATATTCAATACAATACGTATACTTTACTTACTGTGTATACAAGTAGTTAATAATAATAAGATAATTACCTCAACGGTTAATAATGTACATTTTACTAGTACAGTTCATTTTTATTCATTTATCTTTCGCTACAACTATATCGAGTCCAAATAACATAAAATTTAACCAACTCAATGAAATTCTCAGTCAAAGTGGTTGGAAAACGGTAGAAGAATTCAGTGTCACACACTATGATAATACAACTAAAGACAGTCAAACTTTTACAGTAAAAGATTTAATTAGGGTAGACGAACATGAAAATATTATTGTAACTGAAATTAATGGACAACAAAATTTAGAGCAATGTTCGATTTTGCTGAGTTCAATTTACTATATCATT